TTCTTTCTTTCTTTCTTTCTTTCTTTCTTTCTTTCTTTCTTTGGCAAACCAGGGATTGAACTCAGGTCCTTGCACTTGCCAGGGAAGCACTTATCCTACTGAGCCATCTCCCCTGTCCCTGACGAACACATCTTTGAGGCACTGCCTCAAGTCTGATTCCTGCTGCTGTGCTTTCGACCTTAGACCAAAACAACCCTGGGGAAGGAGCTGCCAGCGTTAGGTAGCCACTGCCTTGGCATGACCCCAGGGGGTAACATCTGGCATCAGCAGACCTGACTGAAAAGGGGGCAAGACGGCATGGACAATGGACATCCTTTCTCTGCCCTCAGTCTCCACATCTACACGGTGAGATCATACTCCCTGGTAGGGAGAAGGTAAAAACTAAACAAACAAACAAAAAAAAAGCATCTGAAACAACTTCCTCAGAGGAGGGGCATTGGAAACAGAGGTGCTGGTAACCATGATCCGTGGCCATCAGCAGAGTGGCCAGGAAGCCCCTTGGGCCAACACACCAGACATTAGCCTTGTGCTCAACCTTTCATTCCACTGAGGGGTAAATAGTCTTTACAGCAGAACTATATATTATGGGATGTGACTCAGATCTCTTTTTTTCTTTTTCAGTACTGGGGCTTAAACCCAGGGCTTTCCTCTCACTGAGCTACACCTCCAATTCATTTTTTTTTTGTTGTTTTCATTTTTATTTTGACATAAGATCTCACTAAATTAAGTTGCCCAGTCTGGGCTTGAACTTGCTATCTTCCTGACCCTGTCTCCTAGGGTGCCGCCATTATGGGCTTCATATGTTATTTTCTGAAAGCTACATTATCATCACCCCTAAAAAAATGACCAGTAAGTCTTAGTATGGGAGAGCTTGTCCAGTTCCCCATTAGATGCTGTCCTGGCCTAGCATAAGCATATTCATTCCTGCACTGCTCACCTTGTATCCTACCAGGAGCCACGGGTTAGTTCACTGCTACATTCCTAAACTAGGGGGTTCCTCTCCTCCACTCTTTTCTCATGCTGTGTTTATGAAAGGACCCAGAGTTTTGACCTTTGCACCCCTTTTCCTTGTTCTGTGTTTTCCAGTGACAGCCTTGACATGGGAAACCTGTGTGAAACAGATGCCACCTACCTGAGGACACTGCCTAACCCCATTCCTGCGGCAGCTGGCGAGGTGACAGGCGACTTGGCATAGGCCATTGCTGCAATTTCCAGGCCCTGACAGAGGGAGTAGGGAAACAGAAGGCTGGGTCTGGTCTGCTCTGTTCACTGACCTGGGGGAAGCTGGTGCCGGGACCAGGCAGTCCCTAGTAGACAGGACCCTTGCCACCAGCCTTCTTCACTTCCCACTAAGCACAGTCCAAGCAGGGCCCTCCCAGCTCTGCAGCCAGAGCTGTGCTGGGCCTGAGTGGGGCTAGGAGGAAGAAACTGGGTCTGTCTGCAGCTAGCTCGTTTCCACCCTTGCCCTTCCTGCAAACGGACTCTAGCTCTCAGCCAGCACCCACTACTGTGTGGCAGGACTGGCCTTCCTCTCAGCCGGCGTTTGATGACCCTCAGAACACAGTAGACAAATGTGTCCATTCCCAGAATGCACCAGGCCTTGCTTTCCTCAGGGCCTGTGCACATGCTACTTCCTCTGCATCAGTGCTCCTCCACCTCTGCACACTCTGATTTTCCACAGTACTGAAAATGTCGAGGCTCAGAGTGGCCCCTTCCTGATCCGTTCCCTGCCATGTCCCTGTCCACTGTCTCTACAACGTAGCTCTTTCTTATTTGAGCTCTTGAGAGGCCCTTTACATCTCTTAGCCCTTTTATTTTTCTGCCACAGTTGGTCGTTGTTTTCTCTTAAGTTGAAAGGGCAGCTCAGTGAGGTTAGGATCTTGTGCAACAAGGTGTAACTAACTCCCTTGATTTTATTTCCTAAGATGGCCATCCTGGCTGGGAGGAATGGCAGGGGCACGGCCATGCCCAGCAGATCTTAGGGATGTGGGGCTCAAGGTAAGGAACAACCACTACCTGGGAAGATGGGCGTGTAAGCGCCATATAACTGGAGGGTGGCAGGACACACACACACACACACACACACACACACACACACACACAGCTCCACCCTTTTCTAGTCCCAGGTCTGATCAAGGCCTACCCCACCCCCACCTTGCCACTTATCCCTCAAGCCCACCTGTCCTTTGCCTGCAGGACAAAGCACTGCTTGTGACTTGAGCCAAGTGGTCTGCAAGCCACTTGTCACCCCTTGGCTGTTCTACCACCTGAGAAGTCCGATGCCACTCCCTTGTAGGTGGCCTGAGGAGCAAGGCTGGATCCAAGCAGGGTGCTGAATGCAGCACGTACCATGGTGGTGAGCACTGAGCAATGCTGTCGTGGTGTGGCTGCCGTGAGCTATCCTCTCCTATGGCCTTTCCTTGATATCAGCTGTGCTATGGCCAGCCTTTGGGGCCCCATGTGTGCAGAAAGCCTGCTCCCTGCTCCAATTCCCTCCACCTGGGGTTCCGTAGGTTGGCAGGATGCTCACCTGAGAGGGGGAATTCCACATTGAGGACCTAAAGGGCAGCTGAGCTTTGATGCAGCCGCCTGGGCTCCAGAGCACCACCCTCTCGCTGGGCTGTGGATAAGTCAGTAAACAGAGCTTGATTGGCCTCTCGTACTCAAGGGCTGGGACAAGGAGCAGAAAAGTCAGGTCAACAGTGCCTTCTCTGTAGGTGGCTAGGAGAGTGGGTGCTTCTGGGACCTCTGGCCTCCACTTGGAGCACCCAGGGCTTGGTAGATCCCTCTATAGGTCCAATGCTGGAAGGAGTCTTAAGACTGGCCTGTCCTCAGGTGCTGGAGGTCCAGATTGGGTTGTCCCCACTAGAAGGGTGACCTATATCTCTGTGCCCCACAGGCCCTGCCTTGTGGGGATCCCGTGACCTTTCCTACTTCATGACGCCCAACAAACTCTGGCAACACTGGCCAGACTGAGACTTGGAGAAACTCTCAAACCACTTCCTTCCAACCTCAGGGCCTTGGCACATGCTATCTCCCTGCCAGCCTGCCCTTCTCTTCATTCTCTCAGGGCTCACAATACCAGGAGTTCTCTAGGGCCTTCCCCGGCCCTCAGCTCATGTCCCACCTGAACACTCAGTCCCCCTTTAGGTTCTGTAATCTAGCCTGAGCCCTCACAGTTCTGTTTCCTTTCTAGCACTTTCTATGACCTCTAATTCTCTTGCTTTCTAAGTGGTTTGGTGGTCATTCACCTTCCCACACCTCCCTTGGAGAATGCTCACTGCAAAAGCAGGTTTTCCTTCTGCCTCCAAG